CTCTGGTCTCGACTTTGGTCTCGCTAACTACAAACTACCGGGCGTCCCTCTCCGCCTGCTGGTTCACATCTCAACGTTCGCGGGCCAGTCTTAGAAGCTCGGCTCGAGGCTCCGGGCTGCTGTTGCCGGCCCTGTTCCCGGCGTCATTCGAAGGGATCGCAGCCAAGGAAAGTCGAGCTCTCGAAGCAACTATGGACGCATGTGTGCGCGAACGACACGAGGAAACTCCTCGACGGACACTGTCACTTCTCGACGCGGGGACGAGCGGCTCGAGGAGGACGCCGCTGTCCAGTCGCGCATAGGAGCGATCCGGCCCGCTTCTCGCGTTCTCCGAGATGCTCCACGTACGACGCGTCGCAGCGCTCTCTCTCTCTTTCTGTCTTCTGCGCCGTGGTCAGCGGCGGCAGCAGCAGCAGCAACAGCAGCAGCAGCAGCAGCAGCAGCAGCAGCAGCCGCGAACACACACATGCGCTCACGCACGAGGGAGAACGCGGAGGTGCACGGCAGAAAGAGAGAAAGAGCGAGAGAGCGTCTCACACAGGCGCGGGCGCGCGGACAGTCTACACGGATAAAGGGACGGCGGGCGGCGGCGCTCTGGTCCAGACGATATATTCGGAGGAGGTGAATGTTGGTCGGTCGTGCCCAGGGAGAGAAACGAACCTTCGAGCGTATCGACGCACGTATACGCGCGCGCCCGTTCTTACGAATTGAATTCTTGTGTGTATGCGTGCACATGCGTGTGTGCGTATGTGGTAGATACAGAGAGAGAGAGAGAGAGAGAGAGAGAGAGAGAGAGAGAGAGAGAGAGAGCTCGGCAACATGGCCGACTCGAGAGTCTCAGCTCACCTCTGCCGCCACAGCCTCCCCCTCGTGCCGCTCTCTCCCACTCGTAACCACTCCGTCTCTTCATCTCTGGCTATCTTGGCTCCGGTGTGCGGCTCACAAGGAAGCAAACGAGAAGGACCGAGAGAGATACTTATCGGCCTTCCTTCTCCCTCTCTCTCTCTCTCTCCCCCCTCGCTCTGTCTCTCTCTCACTTACTTACTTACTCCCTCTCTCACTCTCACTCTCGCTTATTCGAGAAATCCCTACCTGTAAGCCGCAGTGACCGCCGTCGCCGTCGCTGTCGCCGCTGCAGCACTCGCCCTGTCGCACCTTATGTATATACTTGTATAGCTACGTCATCCTGTCTCTTTCTCTCTCTCTCTCTCTCTATCTACCTATCTATCTATCGATATCCCTCTCTTTCTCTCTCTCTTTCGCTCCTCACTCTTTCTCTCACTCTCTCCTGCTCATTTCTCTCTCTCTCTCTCTCTCTCTCTCTCTCTCTCTCTCTCGGAGCCCTGCTCAAGCTTCACCGTTTCGCTCGATCGCTTGGTATAATCTTCTCGCTTTCCTCCCTCTACATACCTCTCACCGGACCAACGAAACTCCCACCACAGATTCAGCTTCTCCCTTTTCCTCTCCCGCACATAATCGTTCGCTGGCTCTCACTCTTTCACTCTTTTCCTCTCTCTTTCCTGTTTGACTTCGATATGGAGGTAGGTGGAAGATACGCGTGTACAAGAAAAGGAGCGGCTCACAGCGTCACAGCATCAGCATCCTTGCTGTCTATGCACTTTTACGAATTGAATTCTTGTGTGTATGCGTGCACATGCGTGTGTGCGTATGTGGTAGATACAGAGAGAGAGAGAGAGAGAGAGAGAGAGAGAAAGAGAGAGAGAGAGAGAAAGAGAAGGGGTTAAGGTGTAGAAAGATGCGATATTTAAGTTCCAGATAAGCAAGGCAAAGTCACTAGGCTATTTCAGTTGTATATACCACCCGCATGACTTCGTTTCCCTTATGCATTACGTAAAGGTCATATAACTGGAACACAATTTAAACATTATTCCCTGAATTCTGAGATGCTGCGGATAATCTACGCCCAGATTTTTATTTTGGTTGTACATTTTATGGAAGCTCCGTTTGTCAGCACTGAATTTAATAATGTCGAAAACCATTTCACTTTGAAATTTAAATTCGCTTGCGACAAAAATAATTACTTCGGTTAGCTTTCATAAGCCTCTTGGATTTATTTGTTGTTACTCGTACTATTTCAAGAAATAAGTGACAAAAGGAATATTAAAATTTTTGAGAGTAAATAGATTTTTAGCTGTTGAAAGATAAATACAGAGCCACCTATTCTCGTTTTTTCACATATTTGATCCACTGCTACTGTTTTATTCTTTAATCCGTCATGATAATGTATTTCTGTAAAACTTTTTAAAATATTATAAATCGACATTATTGTTTATATTGTAATATAAAGATTTCTCTGAAATGTATAATTTTCTTTCGTTTAAACGTGTCTGACTTATTTTAAAGAACTTCGCGTGATCTATTGATTCTTATATAAATAATAACGAAGTTAGTGTAATTCAGCAGAGAAACAATATATTTTAACGTAATTGAAGTATGCGAAAAATAAAAATTAATCTATAGTTGCAATTAGATAAGCATTAATTTACAAAATTAATTAAATTCGAGCTCAAGCATAGCGAACTCGTTCTTTAAGGAGGAAGTTAAATAAAAGTAATACCTAATAAAAGAAATAGACTCATAAAAAGCTAGCGTTGAAACTGACAAAAACCTACTTTGAAGAACTCCCAATCGTTGCACCAATAATAGAAGATGCATAAAAAATACTCACTAATTCATCAAGAAAAATTAAAATCTAATTGTATACTGTATGAAACAGAATTGGGGAAAGATTTTTTACTCGCATTCATCTATATGTATTATTTTGTAGTGAAATATATGTAGATTTTAAACAATATTTAATGTTCTATCGTCGCCGTCAATTACTAATTCTGAATTAATTTACTAATTGAATTGAACAAATAGTTTTATACATTGTCAAAATTAATTTCATGGCATTAATACTCATAGCATTTATACACCATAAACGTGCCTACTCTTTAAATATCTTAAATAATCATTGAGAATAGATACTTATAAATGTAATGATTTTAATTGAATTTAAATAAGTTTAAATGCCTCAGTAATATTTACTATTTTTAATTAACAATAATTTAGAGTATTATAAATAAATCAAGAGTTTTTATTAATAATAATTTTTTTAAGCAATATTATTAGTCTTCACGAATATCAGTTGTTGATAAGTTCAAAATTTTATTTAAAAGAAAAAAGAGAGAAATTAAAGTGAATTAACTTGAGTGAAAAATCTTCTTGAATCTCACATATAATAAAATATAGTAAGAGTTATGGAGGAAAGTTTTATGCAAAATAAACTATTCACGAGACAGTTGGGGAAGAGAAGTGCAAAAGGATACGTTTCATAGAAAGTGCGGTTCATAAGCACTACGTAAAGATTAAAACGAGAAAAATAAGGCAAGCTAACTAAAAAAAAATTTTAAATTGGCAAGAAAGAGGGAAAAAGGAAAAAATATAGGAGGAGAAAAAGTAAAGGAGAAAAAAGGGAATTCGTGAAAAATGAGTATCCAGCAAAAGAAGATAGCCTCGGGCTATGCCGCTTAATACAACCCTGTTCCTCTGTTGCCTCTATCGTCTGTCTGTCTGTCTGTCTGTCTGTCTGTCTGCGCCTGTATGTCTGTATCTCTATTCCTTACAAATACCCGCTTGCCTACACACTGAAATTCTCTCTCTCTCTCTCTCTCTCTCTCTCTCTCTCTTTATTATAGGGAAGTGCTGTAGCAAACCGTCGACAGTCTCCTCCGCTCTTAATGTAATGTGGAAAATTTTCAATGGTTTCTTATTGTAGTGTAAGTAGAGATAAGTATATATATATATATATATATATATATATATATATATATATATATACAAATAAAAAAAAGA